AAAAACAAATCGATATAAATCACTGCGTTTTTTATAAAAAGTTGATAGGTTTCTTACCTATTAATTTTCTGCAATGTTGTTGCACTGGTTACTGATATCATAAGATTCAAACATACTGAAGATATTTCTCCGACACAGAGAATTTCTCGTACGTCTGATTTCAGAATTAAATTATTAATTATTTTTAACGTAAGTAATAATTAATAATATTTTTAGTAATAACCAACCCTGGCCGTTATGAGAGTAAAGTAATATACGTAACGTAATAACGTAACAATTCCACTAATGCTTAGTACCGTACTAATTCCACTTAGTACTGTACTAATTCGAAAACCTGATGTACTTACTGAGTTATATTTAAAATCTTCATAAAATTTAATAAGAACGTATAATCTGCGGTATAAGGATAAACAAAATGCTTAATGTCACCGATTGCGCACTTAGATAGTTTTATCATGTATACAGCTTGATATCGGTCGATATTTCAAAATAAAACGTTTTCGATCTCATTTGCATTTTAACCGAAACACTCTGTACAAGTATAAATGACCGTTTCCAAGATTAATGGTTTCGGATTCTGTGTGATGATAATACGTAAATTTATAACAGGAGATTTTTTATGTTTACCTTCAGCAAGTTAAGTACATTTTTCCCCAGTTTTGTTTTGTTTTTTTGAAGAAAAATAGCGTTCGGCTTCATCCAAGACACAGACAAGAAAATAAATATAAGTAAGAAAATATTTTCTTAAATCCGACAACTGAAAAATTACAATTGGAGGAATTATAGAAAATTTATCAGTATAAAGAAGTTGAGATCTTGTTACAGTAAGATTTAAGACTAGTAGTAGCTACTAGTAATGTAATACTATACCTTTCGTTTATAAAATATCACACATAACATAACACGTAAACAACAAAATAGTTTATACCTATACAGGGTGTTTCAAAAAATATGGGGGATCCCTCACGTAAAAATAAGATTTATTTTTCATATCAACGTAGGTCCGATTCTTCTTTGTTTCGTAGCTACAGGGTGTTAAAGTCTAAATATTTGTTCGATTTATTATAATTTTCTTCCAAGTGCTTTTAGCGTTTCGAATGAAATTTTGAGCTAAAAAAATATCGACATGTTCACCAGGGACGTGCATATGGGTTATCACTGGAATATTTTTCTAAAAAATCATGTACACCATTGATGAATTTATCGACACTTTTTAGCATTAAAATATGTAGCACTTGTAGTAACTTTTACCCTCAGAATTTCATTCGAATCAGTAAAAGTTACTTGGAAGAATATATTATAATAAATCGAAAGATTATTAAGACTTTAATACCATGTAGCTACGAAACAAAGCAGAATCGGACCTATGTTGATATGAAAATAAATCTTATTTTTATGTAATCTCCCCATGAGAGATGGCACATGTTTTTGAAACACCCTGTATAAGGCAAAAAAGCCTTCTGGTTCAAAATTCTCAGATGTGTCGTAATATTCACGAACCAAATGTAACTTGACAGGGTTATATACATATTAAATACATATATCTTTATGGATATTAATATATTTTCACATGATTTATATACAGATCTTATTAGTATTTATCGGATATCTTGATAGGTAACTGTTAAGAGATTATTTTCTTTGAGATGGCGACTTAAAGAAGAAAAACTTTTCATAACATCTCTCTAGTGTAGATGATATTAATAATATCTTAAGGGCGACCATATTTGAATTTTAAATTATATTAAAAACCAGTATTAAGTCATTAAGAAGCGTTTAGATAGCTGGAGGCACTGGATGTCCCTCTTTAATATACCGTATGTCTATATATAACATCGACAGTATTTAAATAAAATATTCAAATTATTTTTTTTCAAAATTAATAATATATCTACATTTTAATAAATATCTTCTAATTAGTGAACAGAGACACAAATCTCACAATCTTTTAAAGACAAATTCTTAATAAATAAGGGGGCTACATGTTTACAGGAAAGTCACGTCCTAAGCTACAACCTCAAGAATTGCAAAGTCATTCAAAGCGTTGAGGTTGTAGCTTAGGGTGAGACTTTTTGTCTTGAGCCTGAGATTAATTGCCTTTTTGTCTTGAGCATAAAAAATTGAAATAAGTAAAAAAGTTCGTATAAATGTATGTCGTAAAATGCTTTGTTTGGGAGATACAGGGTGTAGAAGTTTCATTTTTGTTTTGTTTTTTTATATAATTTCTGAACTAACGTCGATACTTGGATTAAAATTGGTGTCTGGAAGTTTTTTGACATGTGACATATAACTCCTCTTTGTAGAGAAGGCCACCTGCATATTTTTAATCTGGTTTGAAGGGTACTAATTATTCTTCCGTATCTGTCCGTTTTTTTGCGTAAAAAAGGTTCCTTGCTAAAAAATTATGCTACCAATGTTTCTCAAGAAATTTGAAATGGAAATAATTAATACATGTCATCATTAACAAAAACTGAACATGTTGACTATACAGGGTGAGTCTTAAATAAGTGCAAATATTTTCAGGTCTGGTAGATCTCAATAAAAGAAACATATTTCCTCTTTACCATTTTTCAGATACCTAACCGAGTTATTTAAGTTTGAAAATTAAAACAAAATTATTTTTTTTTGAAAAAGTTTTGAGAGCCACCGGATTTTTTCTGTCTCTATTTGCATCCCTTTTAGTGCCGTAACCATGGAGTAAAGACGTAACTATGGTAATATCAGAGATTAAGAAATTATACCGTGGAAGCAAAATTTTCGCGGTGAACAGGCAGTTCTAAAAAGTTTTCGAAAAATATACAGGGAAATTTAAAAGAAAATGTACGATTTTCAACATTTTTTTTTGCGAAAAAACCTCATAGACCTGTTCCTAGGGTCGATATATACCCCCCTGAAAATATTTGCACTTATTTAAGACTCACCCTGTATAGTTATTAGACTGAAATCATAAACTTGAAATGTTTTTGTATCAAAGATTTAACTTCGGGTTCAACAGAAACTGTTTCATCATATTTTTTTCTAGAAAAAATTATGATTAATTTAAAAAAATAAAAAGTTTCCAGATTTATCATTTTAGTCGAACACCTTTATTTTTCGTCATTATATATGTTTTCATAATTTATATTCCAAATATCTCGAGAACGTTTAGTTGTAATGTATATTGTTTCACTCAATAATTTTATACAGCTACAGACGAAAAGTTATTACTCTTCAAACCAGTTAAAAAATATGTAGCCCCCTACAAGCAGGAGTCATATTGTCAAACCCCATTTTGTGGGCTATGACTAGGGGCATAGCAAAATAAAAGAGATTTTAATTTTAACACTTATTTTAATTAATCAATTTAATTAACTTACGAATATTACATAATCTAACATTAACTATAAGGGTAAATATGTACTGACATATACGTATAGACGAACATATATCGTCGCTGGCGCGGGGGTAGTGTTACAGGGCTTCTAGTCTAAGAGCTAGCAACGTTTTCGGGAAAGTATTTTAAGACGTCTGGCTCTTTAATATATCTTTTACTATGCTCTCTGAAACAGCATGCGGCCCGTCTGGCTGCCGATACCCGTTGCGTTCACTACTGCGCATCAGAAGAAGATCCTATTCTAATACTGGTAATTTAAAAAAAAACAAATATTTAATACTTTACTATCAGAATATAAACGAAAATAAAATAAAAGAGTCTTTGCCCTGACCCGGATTCGAACTCGGTTCGTGGTCGGAAACTCTACGCACTGCGCTATGGAGACATGTTCGATTTATATTCAATACTAGAAATTAAAGGACTAATAAATATATAGGATCTTCTTACAATGCGCAGTAGGAAACGCAACGTTTACCGGCAGCCAGACGGGCCGTATACTGTTCTAGAGAGCATAGTAAAAAATATATCAAAGAGCCAGACGTCTTAAAATACTTGTTTTTCGGACGTTGCTAGCTCTCGTACTATTCGTACTAATGCAAAATGCCCGAATATCGACGGCGACCTTCTCGAACATTAACTATTGACAGTCCCCCCAACAGGTGACATTTTTGTATTTATCAATTCGATGTGGCGAATTATCAAATCAGCATTATTGGTCTATCAATGCAATTGCGATGACCGGTGCGAAGACCGCGTTATTGCTGATTTGATGATTTTATAAATTCGTAATATTGAAAGGAAATATTTTTCGCAGTTGCCAATTATACTTATATAATTTGTTTTTGAAAACTTTACTTTTGTTGCGTAAACTCGATATATCAATGAACTTTAAACATTTTATATTTCCTTTCAATCGAATCATTAATAATTTACAAAATATATATTTTTTATTTTATATAACTAATAATTCCTTCCTACTGAAATCAAATTTCACCATTTTTTTATCCAAGACGACCAGATACCATTTCTTTATCCACCAAGACACCACAACTACACCATTTTTTTATCCAAACATCGACTATACTTCAGAAATTATTTGGAAAGAATCAAAATGAAAATGAAACTAATCATTTTGGGGCATAAATTTATACGAACTTTTTTATATACCTATTTTAATCTGCAGAATATGCTGCCGAACTTTCCCGAATATAATTTAGATCACCCTGTATATGTATAGTATTGAACATTTATTGGTTGATATCAACACATTAAAAATATATTTTTTGACATTAAATTAGACGAAATAAAAAATATTTCTTAAACATCTGTGTATAATGTTAAAACCACCTAAGGCGATGTATTTGAATTTTAAATTATACCAAAAACCAGTATTAATAGTAGTCAAGAACCATTTAGATAGCTGGAGGCATGTACTGTCATTAACGAATAGTATGTACATCAATAAATATCATATATGGTGAAGAAAATATTCTAATTCGATTTTTTTTCGAATGAGAAAACCTCTTGCTGTAAACTAAATATTGTAGTAGTACCACATCTGATTACACGCAATTTTAATCGTCGTACGGTATTCAAATTATTCTCTTTAAACGGAAATGGAACTTACCTTTGACTGCAACAACCTCTTGAACCCATCCCTCGTATACTTCTGCTCCTTGTTCACCACCTCGCTGCACAACTTCAGGTGAGCCAAATGCAACCTCTCCCTCAAATTCTCCTCCTCCATACTGCTCATAGGCACTAAAGATTTCCTCCTTATCACGGTTTCCTCATCAACCACCCCGGCGCGTTTCGGTTGATTCTCACTACACGAAGGCAGACAGTTAACCGTTATGACGTCACAATGGTCGTCGGTAGTGCCGACGCCTATGGATCGCGACTGGACCAAAGTCGGTCGAATCTGGATATCGATATTGTTATTTGCGATGGCGGGGCAAGGTTTATGCCGGTGTTGATCCCGGATGAGATCCAGGGTTTGGGTGGAGCATTCTGGGAAGTTTTGGCGTCGTGGTGTTTCTGGAAATAAATGTTATTGGTGTAAACAATTTGTCTGGAGATGGTAGACAACGTAAAATGTTTGATATAAATATATGTTTACGGTCTTTTTGTGACTTTTATTGTTTTAAATTCGAAAGAAGATAACATAATGACTTTTTATTTGGAATAAGATTCCAATTAAAGTAAATAATGTCTGCACCTTTGTGTCGTGTTCTTTTCTAATAAAAATTATCAAAAAGAATAAAGAAAAATTGGTTATTATACAGGCTACAGGTCCGGCAATAGTGCTCTGGGCATCTGTAGCTCCTAGAATAAAAAACTTTAGAATTTTGTTTCAGTACAAACCTAAAGTTTGCACGAGGATGTATTTCGGGAAAACATTTTAACTTCTATAGGGTGGCTCAAAAAAGTGTGAATGGATCGGGATAAGTTTTTTAAATGGTATATTATTGTATATTATACACCCTGTATATTATTGTATTTTGGGCTTCTTTTCATATCGCTTTAAATAAGCCTAAGATATGAGTAAATACATTTTGATAGTTTCAGAGATATTAATAAATAAATAAAAAATATATATTTTTCTGAATTTTTAAAAAAAAATTATTAAAAATAGGAGAACCTGTCCTGAAATCAAAACTGTATCAGGTATGGTCTATACTTACTTTCCTATAAATATCGCAATCTTAAATCATACAGGGTGGTTAAAATTCTACGCCAAACTAAAATATAAAATAATGTTTCTTTTTTTTTTAATGGAACACCCTGTATATTATTTTTTTATTAGATGGAAAGTTGAACATTTTTTGTATTTGACCAATTTCAAAAATTTTAATGGTTTCGCAGATACACGCAGTATTATTTCATATTCATATGGCGCTTTCAACGCTAAAATACGAGAGAAAAACCATTGGGTGGCTTTAATAAAAAATTACTGTAGAAAATGCCATATGAGATATAAAACCGTTAACAATTTTAAATTACTCTAAATACAAAAAAATGTTAATTTTTTAATTTTCCATCTAATAAAAAAATAATATACAGGATGTTCCGTTAAAAGAAACGGTTATTTATTATATTAAATTTATTAAAGAAAAATTATTATTTTATTATTAAAGAAAAATTATTTTATATTTTAGAAAGTTTCGAGTAGAATTTTGAAAGTACAGACCATCTAAAGTAACTACCTAATATAGTTTTGATTTCAAATCAGTTCTTGTATTTTTAATAATTTTTTAAGAAAGGCTGAAATATACCGGGTGCGTCTCAAAAGTGGTTCACCCCTATAACTTTTTTATTTTATCAGATAAAAAAAACGACATTTGGTATGTTAGTATATGACATAAATTAGGATTAATTGACGTATTCAATTCTTTTCTGTCACTTCCTGTTTCACCGGAAATAACTACAACTTTTGATTTTTAAATGGCACCCTCGGTATTTTTTTACTTTATTCTATAGAAAATTACATTCTGAATAGAATGACATATAATATGTCAACTTTTGACATTAATGCTTAAAACAAAATTGGATTTTAAATTTCAATTTAGAGTGCCCTGGCTATGTTAAAAACACTAATTTTTAGTCAAGGAGCCTTGGAAAAATAGAATTGATCTTCTAATGTTATTCGTGTCTTGTCCTGGCCGTTTAAAAAATTCCCAAATCGTACTTTTAGTCATATCCTAATTTTTTCAAATGGGACGAGGGTGGCTCATTAGCATATTTGGAAAAAGCATTTTTTACGAATAATTTGGTACCACACACTTGGTATTTCGAGTCAAATTGTCGTTATGAATCGCATGTTGCAATTTCAAATAAACCATATTCGAAAATGTCAAAAGTTGACATATCATATGTCATTCTATTCAGAGTGTTATTTTCTATCCAATAAAGCAACAAAACACCGAGGTTGCCATTTAAAAATCAAAAGTTGTAGTCATTTCCGGTAAAACAGGAAGTGACAGAAAACAATTGAATAAGTCAATCAATCCTAATTTATGTCATATATTAATATACCCAATCTCCATTTTTTATCTGAAAAAAGAAAAAAGTTATAGGGGTGCGCCACTTTTGAGACGCACCCAGTATATATTTTTTTATTTATTTATTAATATCTCTGAAAATATCGAAATATATTATTTACTCATATCTTAGGATATGTAAAGTGCAATATATATTATAATAAAATGTTAATCTTAGCTGTTCTTTTTATTTAGTAGAGGTATGTTTAAGGTTCAAATTTATGACTGTGAGTCTACCTAACCAAACAAACTCATAAAAGATTGTCGAAACACAATTGCAGCCTTTCATCAAAACTGTCGCATAGGGATTGCTTTATGCCAGATGCACAATGATCGGCATTTAATAGATACTATTTGTAAGGAATAAAATTGAAATAGAAATATATTTTTACAAAAAAAAATGAAACTAAATTTAAACGTGGTCTTCATCTGCTGATTTCTTTGACGAACCTTGTACAACATATTCCATAATTTCGTGAATTTCATTAGGTAACAACACTAGACACAAATTTCAAATAATACAAAATAATTTTGAATACGGTTACACTTCGGCGAAAGTAAACTTAAAAAACAGTAAATACAACTCAGTAGCAGTTACAATTCGTTTTACTAATAAGTACAAGTTTTAATAATATATTAAAAAAAAAATATCAGGCAAAGATTCTAATTTGATTCTTTTTCTCTCAGGTGCACAACGGAGAATTTTTTTGCCCAAATATAAAGTGACATTTTTCTTATTTTTGGCCCTATGATTTTTTTAGCAAGCTGTATATAATTATAATATAAACTTTAATTCGTAAACTCAGCTTTTTATAAACTTTAGTATTTGACATATTATACAGGGGTTGTTTTTTACCTTAACTTTAAAACACTCTGTGCAATAATTTCGTATGTAAATTTTCGTAAAATATAATTTTGCGATGAGAACCATATCTCCTGAGCATTTTGTATTTTAGATCATGTCAACACATGCCTTGGTTAATTTTTAAGACCGAAATAAACTTGCCCATCAACAATTTGCAATTTTTTTCAATTATCATTTCTTTTTGAAGTTATTTTTCAATGTCACAAGGCGGCTTTGGTGATTATTGTGAACTATACACTACTAAGAACTGCCCATCATGTTCGATGTCTGGAAAATACTTGGTAGGAGGGTTAGAGGTCGTGAAGCTTTAATTTAATTCTTCATTAAATGAACTTCGCTTGGTCGTTAAAGAAGAATTCGAAAACATAACGCAATATGATATATGCAACCTCAATGACAGTATGAACATATTAGGGTATTTTTTATTTATTTTTTTTCTGTTTGTATACTTGAATAGCACAGATGTTTTTTTAATATCGTTAGTTCTGTTATAGTTATTAAAGTTTATTAAAACCCAGACTGTATTGTTAGTCTTTAACGTTTTTTTTATTTAGTATAGAATATCCAATGCAAGGTAATAGGAAGTTACGACAATAGTCATGAAAAGCATCTCGTCATATTAAAAAATATATACAGGGTGAGTTTCCTACGATGTTCTCTATGGGCATCTCGGAAACTGCTGGAGATAGAGAGTCGGTTAAATGGGGAAAGAATTGCAGTTTTGTGAGGTCATAAATATGCGCCTTTCAGATTTTTGAAAAAGTTCATGGCTTACTAGATATTTCGAAAAAAACCAATTTTGGCTATTTTAAAAATTGTCCCTAATTCCATTATAATCTATTTTAGACAAAAAGTGTTCAGATAAAAGTTGTAGATAATCACATTCCTAATGGGATTGTGTTCTCCGATTTTTTCTAAAGCCTGTCATTTTTGACATATGACACAAACATATGTTTTTTTTAAATGGAAACCATAGTTGGCCATGACTTCATAAAAAGCGCCATTTTTAAGCTTTTCAGCGATATAAGCTATAATATGTTTCTTTTACAAAATTACTGAGTTATAGCCAATTCTTATCTTTCTTGACTAATTTCACTTAGTTAGCCATGGAAACAAGTTCAATCGTCGTTGCTCTCAGAAATGTGAAATTGTCACATCCAATCTTTGTAAATTAAAATAAACAAAAATTGTAAATATTTTTTTTAAACGAAGAAAAGCGTGTAGGATTATTTGTTCAACTTTTCTTGGCCATACAAGATACGTTGACCAGTGAAAGTTACTTACGTTTTTTAGAGAACGAATTTTTTAGAGTTTCGCCTCTTCGAGTGCCTCTCATAAGTTCATAAGTCCTTTAGTAAACCTTGTTGTTAACCATACCGCATAAAAAAAATCTAAAATGGATAGGTCAGGTGACCGAGGACGCCGAGTAGACCCATGCAATTGGTCCACCTCTTTCTATCCCTGAGTCTACATAATTATGATAATGAAATAATTTTTAACATTTCTTACAATGTGGGAGAGGGGTTTGGTGTGTCATAATGAAAGTCATGTTGGAACCACTCTATTAATGCGCCAGTATCTAAATTTAAGTTTTCTAACATGTCTTGAAAACCGTTCTCTAAAAAACGTAAGTAACGTTCACCCGTCAACGTATCCTCGAAACTGTATGGCCAAGAAAAGTTGAACCAATAATCCTACACGCTTTTATTCATTTGAAAAACTCGTATTTACAATTTTTGTTTATTTTAATTTACAAAGATTGGATGTGACAATTTCGCATTTGTGAGAGCAACGACGATTGAACTTGTTTCCATGGCTAAGTGAAATTAGTCATGAAATATAAGAATTGGCTATAACTCAGTAATTTTGTGAAAGAAACATATTATAGCTTATATCGCTGAAAAGCTTAAAAAATTACGCTATTTATGACGTCATGGCCAACTATGGTTTCCATTTAAAAAACATATGTTTGTGTCATATGTCAAAAATGACAGGCTTTAGAAAAAATCGGAGAGCACAACCTCATTAGGGATGTGATTATCTACAACTTTTATTTGAAAACTTTTTGTCTAAAAGAAATTATAATGGAATTAGGGACAATTTTTAAAATAGCCAAAATTATTTTTTTTCGAAATATCTAGTAAGCCATGAACTTTTTTGAAAATCTGAAAGGTGCATATTTATGACCCCACAAAACTGCAATTCTTTCCCCATTTAACTGACTCTCTATCTCCAGTAGTTTCCGAGATACCCATAGAGAACATCCTAGGAAACTCACCCAGTATTATCATAAAGTATTGATAACTGAAAAAAATTGCAAATTGGTCGTTATGAGTTCATTTCGCTCTTAAAAATTAACCAAAGCATGTATTGACATGAATCAAAAAACACAATGCTCAGGAGTCATGGTTCTGACCGTAAAATTATATTTTAGAAGATTTTACGGACGAAATTATTGCACAGGGTGTTTTAAGGTTAAGGTAAAGAAACAACCCCTCGATTAACCCTGTATAATATGTCAAATACCTACTAAAGTTTATAAAAATCTGAGTATACGAATTAGAGTAGATATATTATATACAGCTTGCTAAAAAATCATGAAAATAGGGCTAAAAATAACAAAAATAACACTTAGATTTTGCCAAAAATTTATCCGTTGCGTTTTTTTTTTGCATCTGAGTGTATGAAGTTTTATTTGCATTAAATTACTAAAAGTATTATTTGTTATTATTAAATTGGTGTATAATTACTTTAAATATTTAAAACCATCATGGATAATGTAAGGTCCTGGTTCTATAGTAATTTAAATTTGAAACAACAATGCACTTACTTGCTCAAAAGTTGGTTTCTAAACAAGTATAATCTTTGATTCTAGGTACTTCTGCTTAAACACCTCTACAGATACCAATAATGGATTTGAATGTATCGCACACGAGATAATACTTAAGAGAAAATTACATGCAGGTATTTTAGATTTTTTTTATATACGTTTTTACATAACCAGCTCTAAAACTAGTTTTAAGCTAGCCTGTAAGAAATAACACTAAAGAAGTAATATTTTTCTTTATATTATTAATTCTTCATATTTATAAGGAATATTTTCTTTTAATGAAAAAATATGTCATTGATTATTATTTTAAAGAAGTCCCTTCATCTCACACTATAAATTTAAAATTAGACTTAAATTAGATTCTAAAACAAATAAGTGCATCAAAGGTTTCTATAAATATTTATGTAGAATTTGCAAAATTATGATTTTAAGATGAATAGAGTATACAGTATACATGTTAAAGGAAGAGATTTTACATGTGAGATTCTCTAAATTATTTATGGGATTAAACATGTGTATTTCGTTAAATTACGAATAAATATATTCTTGTTATTCAAATATACATCCATCGATTGTTATGCTAAACTAATATTTAAATGTGTTAGACTGGGACAACTTTCTTATTTATTGTTTTAAGACTAGGGATTGTTCAATCTCCAAGTCATAAAAATAGACAGTAACTTTTCTTCTTGTGTTTTGTATACAATATAAGCAACGTCTACAAATCTTAAAATATTACTAAGATCATTTAATAATATTTTCAGCAGTAAAATAATAAATGAAGTGAATATTTAACAAAATTTGTTTTAATAAATGAAGTGAATATGAAACAAAATTTGGAATATTTAAAAGTTAAATTTAAATAACTGTACGATTACACGTAGAGAAACAGTGTATTTTTCAATAATAATATCTACATATAATTTACATGGGTGAAGATTAATAAATCTCTGCACTGGTTACACAATATACAGGGTGTCCCAGAAATAAATGCAAGTATTTTAGGGGTGGTAGATCTCGATATAAGAAATATAAGAAACATAGTTTCTCTGTCATTTTTCAAATAAGTCCAAAATAAGGGAGTCATTTTACTTTAAAAATTTCCAAAAAAAATGATTTTTTGCTAAAATTTTGAGAACGACTGGATCTCTTCTGGATTTTCTTTCTTGAAAATTTAATCTAATACCTATGTCGCCATATTATCAAGAAATTATGTTATTTTATTTACAAATTAAAAAATTTCCAAAAATTTTTTTAAAAAATTTCGAATGTTCAAAATTTTTTTTCGCGAAAAAGAAACTCATAGGCGTGTTTCTGGGGTTGAACGATACTACCAGTTAAAATACTTGCACTTATTTCTGCGACACCCTATATAGTGTATAGTACTTTAGTTTCAGAGATATAGCAAAAATCGGACCTTTTTTAGAAGATCTTATTTTTTACTAAGCTATTGGGGACACGGGTTTCAAAAAATGTTTTTTTATGCATATTATTGGGTAAATTAAATTATAGACATAGTAGTAGTTATTTTTTACACATCAACAATAAAAAATATAATAAATTTAAAGAAGATCTCTTGGTAAAAGTCGCTACCAGCAACAGTTTTCAAGATATTGGAAATAGTCAATACATGTCATTATTGACAAAAAAATAACATATTATGTATACTAGATAGTTATTTGACTTAAATTATAAATTTTGGGATCTTTTTTAGTTTTTTAAGCTAATCATGAATTTTTTAGAAAAAAAATACGATAAAACAGTTTCTGATAGCTCAAAAATTATTTGGAAACAATCAAAATAAACATGAAACTTCTACATCCTGCATCTCCCAAACAAGCATTTTAGGACATAAATTAATTTATACGAACTTTTTTACTTATTTTTATCTGCAGAATATACTGCACAAGTTTCCCGAATACAATTCGGACCACCCTGTATAGAAAATGTATTTTAGCTAGCCAGGCAAATTTGTTTAAAATAAAGTAGTTTTTAACATCCCAGTGACGTGTTACAGAATATACAATTTTTATTTGTAATAGAAACCCAACTCTTTTCCAGAAAATTAACTACGATATGTATCAGCAGTTAGTCCAATAAAATATGCAATTATCATTTTAACTAAGTCATATGTTTCTAAACTACCTTCTCCTCCCAGATCAATTCCACCATCAAATGGAACCTTATTTCCTTTAAACCTTCCTGCGTCATGAAGAATATTTTCACTACATAAAACTCCATCATATTGTTTACATCCATCATCGTTCACATCTTTACCATCTTCCACATTATTAGCTTTTTTAACCCTTCCCTCACGAGCACCGTCCATCTCCGCGCGACACATCAACTCAGCCATGTCCTGTCACTCATAGAACACTCACTTTCACTCTTTAGTTTCTTTTAGAGGAGGAACAGAAGAATTTATTGCGGGTCACTAAGTCACGCATGCGCTCCAAATATACAGAAAAAAAACTAAGATTTTAATAGTACTATTTACTACGGCACTATTGAGCGTTCGACTGTTCATAGAGAGACATACAGACGACGTTCACTTGTTTGGTGGACGGGGTGGGATTACGATGCACAACCTCCTCGAGAGCGAACGATCTCTTAGTTGGCCATTTCTTAGTGGTCCTTTGCTTGATTGCGGTGCTGATTTCAAGGTTTTTTTCGGTAGTTTTTGATGCGAAGTGATGGTGATAGTGGTGGTGGTGGTAGCTTGCGCCCTTGCCTACTCGATGGGGGAGAGGAGGAATCGAAAGTGGAGTGAGTGGGGGAGGGTCTAAAATTAAGAAACATGGCGGACGAGAATAAAGTGTATTAAATGCGTTTTTTCTGTTTTTTTTATTGGTCTGTTTGGTGGAAGAATCGGGTCAATGACGGTGGTTTGCGTGTAAATAATTGAGGTGAATTGGTTAAAATTGCGTTTTTTTTGTTAACTAAATTTGATCTAAAACAAATTAACAATTTTCACAAAATTTTGAGAACGAAGCAAAATTTCAGTTGAAGTAAAGATTTTTGTAATAAATATTTTTATAAAAATTGTTATAATTGGATATTTCCTTTGATTAAAAGTTTAAAAATAATTATATAATAAATTATCATTTTTATAACTTTTAAAAAATGAAAATAAATAAAATTAATATTTTAATTAAATCAAGTAAAGATAAATATTGTGGTAAAATAAATTTGCAATGTGTGACTGTTTCTTTTAATTATTCATATGTTTATTTAAAAGCCGCATGACTTAAAAAGTTAAACATAAATTAATATATAAAAAACAACAGAATTACATGTTATAAAAAATGTTTTTCAACTACAATATGAGAATTATATTTTTAAATATTATAACTTATAATATACTATATCTTATATACTTTATAACTTGTTTTTATTGTAATTCGGGGTAATCCAGGCTTTCGAAAAAGCTGTACATGGTCCGGCAATAGTGCGTCGGGCATCTGTATAGTTCCTAGAATAAAAATCGTAGGAATTTTCTTTAATTACAAGCCTAAAATATGTACTAGGATGTATTTCAGGAACATATTTTATTTTCTATAGGTTGGCTCAAAAAAGTGTGAGTGGATCGGAATGATTTTTTTTAAATGGAACACTCTGTATATTATTGCAATTTTGGCTTCCTTTCGGCTTACTTTATATAACTTAAGTTATGAGTAAATATATTTCGATAGTTTCAAAGATATTAATAAATAACTAAAAAATATATATTTTTCAACCTTTAGGTATTAAAAAAATTATTATAAATACAAGAACTGTCCTGAAACCAAAACTATATTAGGTATTTACTTTAGATAGACTGTACTTACTTTGCTATAAATATGGTAATCGTTAAATCATACAGGATTTTCAAAATTCTACGCCAAACTTTCTAAAATATAAATTAATTTCTCTTCGTTTTTTAAATGGAACACCCTGTATATTATTTTTGCAATAGATGGAGAATTAAAAAAAGAACATTTTTTGTATGTAGAGTATTTCAAAATTTTTAACGGTTTTGCAGATATTCACGATATTTTCATATGGCATCTTCCACAGTAAATGTTTATCAAAGCCACACAATGATTTTTCTCTCATATTTTACCGCTACAAGAGCCATGTGAAATACCAACCAGCCAAACCATTAAAAATTTTGAAATACTTTAAATACAAAAAAAAATATATTTTTTAACTCTCCAAGTAATAAAATAATAATATACAGGGTATTCCATATAAAAAAAAACAAGGAAAATTTATTTCATATTTTAGAAAGTTTGACTTGGAATTTTGAACATCCTGTATGATTACCATATTTATAGCAAAGTAAGTACATACGTCAATCTTTATCTAAAATAATTACCTAATATAATTTTGATTTCAAGACAGTTCTTATATTTTTAATATTTTTTTTAAGAAAGGCTGAAAAATATTTATTTTTTGTTTATCTATTAATACCTCTGAAATTATCGAAATATATTTTCTCATATCTTAGGGTTATGTAAAGTAATCCAAAAAAAAGCCAAAAATGCAATAACATAGAGGGTGTTCCATTTAAAAAAATATTTCTGATCCACTCACACTTTGTTGAGCCACACTATAGACGTTAAAATATTTTCCTGAAATACATCCTCGTAAATACTTAAAGAAAATTCCCAAATTTGTTATTCTAGGAGTCACAGCTACCCGACGCACTATTGCCAGACCCTCAATATTAGGTTTTTCGATTGTGATTTTTGTGCCAATTTTTCCGAGAATATGAGGGTAATGGTAACACACATTTTAAAAATATTTTTGTAAACATTCAGGGCGATTCAAACATATTTTCAAACTAAATTTTTATATTTTAAATAGAATACCATATATCTTTTAATAGCTCAGTGGATTTGCCATTAAATTACCATTTTAAAAACACTATAATTTCATACACTATACCGAGAGGTTTTTGAAATATAACCGTTTTTAGTTTTTATACTAAATTTACTGCTTATTTAAAGCCCTCTAAAAAAAGTACTAGGTATAACATATTATATCTGCTACAGTTTTTAAGTACAGTTAACTCACCTTCTACGAGGTGGGGTCTCTTATAGGAAGTAGAGGCTCCACAAGGAGAATGACAGTTTGTATTGAAATTTATAATTCACTATCCAAATAAAATAGTGATCTATACACTACCGTTAACTCTCCTTCTACGAGGTGGGGGTGGGGTCTCTTATACGAAGTAAAGGCTCCACAAGGAGAATGACAGTTTGTATTGAATTTAAATTTTGTGATCATAATATGTATATAAATTTGTAGCATATTCTAAAAATAAATAGAGTTTTAGAAGGTATTCCAAACAAAAATACGTACCAAAATTGCATTTTTTTGTAATGGAAATGAATCTCGGATTCCAAGGAAAAAAAGGAAAAAAATAAAGGTGATTTTTATTAGAGAAGCCTATGACTAAAACTGAAGGTTTTTGATTACTTAACATTTTCTAGAAATGTGAAATAAATTTTAAGTTTCAATAAAAATAAAACGTACCTAAGTTGAAATATACCCTATTACATTTTCATTTCATTTAAATCTGGGAATTTAAGAACTACTACCCATAATGCACTTTTAATGAGTGACAGTGGATTATTTCATCTGCAGCTATACCTGTATTTATATTTATAGATAATTTAAATATAATACAAATTTCTTTTTTTTATTATCGAAGGTGCATGGTATAATTGTTCTAATCACTGTCTATATGATATTTAACTTAAAACTAAAAAAACACATACTGCACTTTAATAATAAAATAAGAGTTTTGCAGTACAAAAAGCAGGTAGATATTTGAGGAGGACAACCAAAAAACGCCAATTTTCAACTAGCTGTTGAGCCCGAACAGTTCTTCAGAGAAAAAACCTAATTAACAACAATTATTCCAGGAACTTATTATATTTAGTGTAATTTTCAATAAAAAGATTATTTACGAAAAGTTAATATCTTTAAACTTATAAACAAAAAACCACACAAAATCCATGTTTTTTTCAGTTATTTGCATTTTTCTCCATGCATGTTCCGTCAGGAAATTTTGTTAGCAAACCTCAGGTTCGAATTCAACACCCCCAAAAACATAATAAATAGAAGAAATTAGAATTACTTTACTTTTTTACCCAAACTTTCCTCCAAAAAGCTTTTGAGTACAATACAATAGATTATTAGTCAAATTTATTTGCGTAAAAGCCACTAAGAAGCTTCATTTCAATTTGGAGCTTATACGCAGTTGCATTTTACAAAGAATTTTTTTTTGTTTTTATATTTCTGTTTCAGTGGCAAAATACCCTGTTTTTTTTTCAAAAATGAACCTGCCGCCATTTATTGAAAATTTACTACCTATCTAAATTTAAAAAAAATAATAATAAATTTCTTGTATGTCTGGCCTTTTTAATTTTCTGTTAGGACAGATTACTAATTTAACGGCTATTAATATAATACAATAATTTACTTTGAAATGAATATCTAGATGAAATAACTATAAAATAATTTGTATTATTTTACATTTACATTTATTCAGGAAATAATCCAGTAGTATAATAATTATATTAAACGTAGGTACATTTCCGGATGTTTGTTATAACGAAATTCTAAAAATCCACTTCTTTATTAGAAATCAATCACCCTGTATTGCGTTATTGACCTAATTACCGCTGAAATTAAATCACGATAATAGATTGTTGGAAAAAATGTGGCAATGATTGGCATTATTTACTGCAACTGTTCGTCTTGCAACCTGCACGAACGATAACTACAAGGGCATATCTCAGATTCTAGTTGTTTTCTACGGCTAAATTGGATCAAAACGGTTTTTATTCCTTGTTGGTATCGATACCTGTATCCGCTTTTAATGGTAATTTACTTACTTAGTTGTGGTATTTGCATTTTTACTGCAAAGAACTCAAAAAGTCAAGTGGCTGGGTGAGCCTAGAACATGGCATATCTGAGACAATTTATTTATTCCAGATTTTAGATTGTTTCTCATTAAGAGCAAATATTTGAATTTTTTAGAGTTTTACATATATAAAATTATAAAAAAGCTTTGCTAAAATTAAATGTCCGTTAACTACAAAATATAGTCTCATTAATTTATCTAGAAAACTCATGGTGTGCCGCCACAGCAATTAAAAAATAGCTACAACAGAGAATAGACAACAAATCCCGGTAACGGTGGAAAACATTACCAGCACTTTAAACTTAGACCTGATAACCAAATCAGCAAAACTGTAATAGATATAGATACTTTCTTTACTTTTGGAAGCTCAATTGACATTTACAGCTAATAGGTTTGACAAGCTCAGCCACGTGCAAATTAAAAAATTCAGAAGAAGAAACGGCGAAACATATTCTATGTCAATGCGATAGGCTACCAAATGCTCTATTCTCGCTTTTTAAGCAATCTTCTTATTAAGCAATAATATTGGAAAAAGCATTGGCAATAATCTACATTATGGAAGGTTCAGTCTCCATATTATTAGGCTTTTTGAAAAATATACGACTGAGTATACATACTGATTGTCTGACTGATAAGCAACCCCAGATCTACAATTTTTTTGAACCGGGACAGATACATGATAGTAGCGCCCCCTCTC